TATGCTTTCGGCGGCCGAGAATCCATTACTTTTACCATCAGCTGACACGCCACCACTGTTTCCTGCTTGGTTTACGATGACTTCTTCTTTGGATTGCGTAGATCCCATTTTAGATGATGTTACACTGCACTAAATTCAAGTTCTCCAGCCTCTACATGCTAATATATCGTGCATAGTAGGAGGACTGGCAGGATCGCCATGTGATAAACTCAGTTATCCTCTCAGGTTCCTTTATTATAAGTCAAAAGGATAAGGAATAAAACATCTCGAAGTCGATTGATTTCGTCTATTCGTTCGCAGTTAGATGTTAACAAGACCAGAGTCAAGACTCTAATTCATTCACACTGTCCTAAATCTGAATACCATGTTTTATTATCTATTCATAAACACCTTACCTAATTATTAATATTAAAACAATATATGCATCGAGAAGAGCTGTACGTAGCAGTTTCGTGGTGTTCCAAATTAATTGTTTAAAATATCAAATTTGTTATTGTTTCGAAATATCGATTGCTATACCAGTACAGTTTCGACACAAAAAAAAACACAAAAAATGAAAAATATTGTTTTTGAGCACCCTATATCTCTGTCATCATTCCTGCTAGTACCCAAGTGTGATACATTGATGAAATCAGCTCTTCAGAAAGAATCTAGAAATGCGATGAAATACAGGGTGTTTTATTTGGAATAACAACGTTGCTAGTTGTTTCTGATAGAAGTGGCAACACTGTATACACGAACATATTTTAGACGGATAGATAATGTTTAATTATCAGAGCTTTCCAATTTTCAGAATGTCTTTTCGTTCTACAGATACTCCTTATAGACCATCCACCGTGGATCACAATGTATAGGGTGATTCAAAATTCGATGTGAATAGTTTAAGGACGTATTGTTGGGATTGAAATAAGACTTTTCCTACACATGAATATGTGTCCTACAATGCATCCCAATTCGGCCAATAAAAGTAAGGACCATCCTCCAACCCCTCAAAAAGCTGGATTTGAACAACTTTTGAAGAAAGAATAAAATAAAGTGTCTAAGAGGACAAGGGCCTTCCAATTTTCAGAAGATCTGATCCGTTATTTCGTACACAATTTCAGAATATCTTTCTTCTTTACCTAACTTACAGTGGCTATAGGTTGAGAGAGGGGGGGTGGTGAATTTAAGGACACATGTTTATATAACGAAGAAGCCTGATTTTGATCTCGACAATATGTCCAATCAACCTGTATACTACTGTCTGTAGGTTAATCGAGGAACTGGTATATTCATTTTACTTGATTCTTTCGGATTTTTTCCTCCTCGTTGCTATAAAATGAAAATATTCGTATATTATTTCAATATATTTGTAGAGGGACAAATCAGATGATTTCTCCAAAATGTCACTGCGTTTAACAAATTTTTCTATCAGGGAGTCTAAAAGGAAAATCCAGTAGCTTGTCAGTGACAATTTGTTTGAAAAAAATTTTAAGGAAAGAAATATAGATAAATTGAAAGAATATCGAATTTTCACTCATCTTTGGACGTTTCGGGACCGACTCTTCTCCCGTCCTCAATATATTTTCATCATCAAACCTCCTTCAAATCATGGAAGTCCAGGAATTTATCAACAACCATATTGTTTTATGTCTTGATGATCAGACCAATGACGAACGCAATCATATTCTGAGGACCTCAAATTTTTCATGATTCATCTATCTTGATCCAACTTTTCTCATTCGATTCTTCGCCACTATGATTCTTTAGTATTGACAATTTCTCCTTTCTTTTTTTGGTTTCTTTTTCTGGTTTGCCCCTTGATTATTCTCCTTCTGGCTTATATATCTTCTTTCCATATACGTATTAATAAACAATACGGATCATAACGGGTGCCAGGATGGAGCCAAAAATATGAAACAAATAAATATCCATAAGGATTTGGTGGCATGATACGTAGTCATCGAAGACATGCGTTTCGGTGGACAATGACGTTTACTAGCCTTTCAATCAAAGCAGTATGTGTCTGATCGTATCTCACTTTTCCTTATGGATAGTCATTTGTCTTCAAAAATCAGCTTCATGTTTCGCTATGGAAACAGATAGAGATTATCCGTATTGATTATTAATACGTATATGCTTCTTTCACGTTCCTTTCTATCTTCTTCTTTCTTTTCTTCGTACTTGATCAGTTCTTTCTCCTCAAAAATTGTTCATTCCTTGATGTTACTTACCACTGTTCTAATATGGCATTTCAGGAAATGTCATTCAATTTTCAATGTTACGTGTTCAACTGTCGAAGTCTTTGTCCATCTCCTGAATTGTTTCCAATTCTTTCAGTTCCGTGTTCTACAGGCCTCTGTTCACTGAGATGCCTGCCTTTAGTGTATTATGTAGTTTACAATGAAAAAAATCTTTCAATACGTGATAAGATGTTCAATCTCATCAGAGCCAGTTTTTTCTGGCTCTATTCCAGATTTTGAAAAAATAATAAACACAAAAAATGTCCAAATGTGCCCGATGACGATTTACTTTGCTCATGAAAATGTTTGTTTGTCATAGTTATGATACCTAAAGTTCAAATCTTGAAGTGTCCTGAATTTTTCACTTTTTCCAGTTGTATTGTCATATTTTCTCATTTCACAGATACTTTTTATGTCTGATAATGGCCGTTACGCCGAAGCCGGAAACATGTATTAATTGATTGTTCTATGTAAAGTGTGGTCGACCAACTATGACCTACTTGTTTTCTCTGAGATTATTATTATTAGAGGATGATGACTCGTTTCATTTGAAATGATAACGGAGAACCAAAAAAAACCCTACGGTAACAAGAATTGAGGGGGTTACCAACGATGGTTCTCTAAAACTTGAAAAAAACGGGTCCATCTTGGTCTGCGTTCGAATTGATGAGGTTCCATACAATAGGCAGTGAGAGTAAATAATCAACTAGTTGATGGAAAGAGATACTGAGTCACGAAAAACTCATAGTCGACCAAATAAGAACCGTATTCATGTTTCAAGGACACTAGTATATGTGCTTCATTTTTTTTTATTGCTTGGAGCGCACGAAAGGGAATCCCTATAATGTTCAAAGAAAATCGTGCGTTCCTAGGGAGGATAGGGACAGGAGGTAGGTATTGGGAATTTTTTTGAACTTTTGGAGATTATATGTTGTTGGGAATACTTCCACAGGCAATGAATTCCAGAGCCTAGCCGTTCTATGGATGAAGGAGTCTTGATAAAGTGCTGTTCGACATCTTTCGAGGTTGACAACGAAAGGATGTGCTGACTGGGCTTGTCTATAGTTCGTCTGATTGGTATTGCTAGTGAAGGGATGATAGCAGAGATTTCCGAAGAACATTTCCCGTGGAAGTATCGATAGAAAAGTGAAAGGTCGCCGACCTTTCTACGGTGTTCCAATGATGTCAAAAAGTGAGTGAGTGTGGCGTCACCCACCAGGCGAATGACTCTTCTCTGGATGGAATCTAAGGGCATCAGCGTATTTTTTGGTGCTGAACCCCATATGTGGGAACAGTATTCTAGAACAGGCCGTATCTGCGCTTTGTAGATCATGAAAAGCTGTTGTTATTGAAGCAAAACCAATTTCCAGTCGCGTTTTTCAGAAACCTTTGCTTCCGTGAGGGGTGTATGCAGAAAACATTTTCATAGGAACAAGTAACTAGTGATCTTGTTATCAGCATGAAATACTTACAAATTGCCATCATCGCTTTCGCCTTGGTCTATCTACCGAAACAGCCATAACGGAACTCGTTCAACAAATCAACGACCTGATGAACCGCAATGAGTATGTAATTGTTATATCATTCGACTTCGGTTATTCGTAATATCGTCTGGGAAAAAATCAACAACCTAGGTCAACGTCAACGTTCTTGAAGTTAAAGAAATTATGGTGAGAGCCGGTGAAACCAATTCCAAGGAATACGATTTAGATTTTGGAATACCACAGGAAAGTGTCCTAAGTCCATTGAGTTTCCTCACCTATGTCAATGACTCGCCCCATAACATGAGGAATAATAAAGTCTTCATGAATGTTGATGACACCTCTATTGTAAAAAAGCATACTCGGTTACTGCATTGGAAATACACCTATTATAAATTATATTGAAACAATAATAATATCATTGAAACCAATATTTCATCTGAATTCTTAGGAATGCTTGTAGATTGTAACTCAACATGAACGAAACAAACACGAATGGTTTGTTAAGAAACCAACAAAAGATTTTTCATGTTGGCAACACTAAAAAATATTTTCAATACAGCTTCATTATCACAGGTTCACTATATGCATTCTGTTCATTTCACAATTCCATACAACATTATAGTATGGGGTCAGGCATCAGATACTACAAGAATTTTTGTTGCTCGAGAACAAATAATTATTCTTATTCAACATAAGTAGTCGCCAATCATTTAGACAGGTCCTCAAATCGAAACGGATCCTTCCGTAACATCAAATTATTTATTGAACTCTTCAACATACATTCATTACCCATTTATAGTGATTTCACCAAGACACTAAGAAAAAATCAAAGAATAATATCAAACTGAACAAGCCTCTCAACACTCCTATCACCGAAAATCTTCAATCAATGAAGGCTGCCGTTATTCCAACTATCTGGTGATCGAAATAATCAACTCGGGATCCTTGGCTGTTTTTGAGTGTACACCTATCAAGGAACTGCTAGTCATTACCTACCTCCTGTCCCTATCCTTCCTAGGAACGCATGATGTTCTTTGAACATTATAGGGATTTCCTTTCGTGCGCTCCAAGCGATAAAAAAATACTGCTAAGGAGTTAGAATCCTACAAAAAAATAATACCGAAGTATTTCTCAGTGTATGTAAGTCATCACTAGAATTGTTTGCTCTTGTATCACTATTTCGTTTCGTCTCACTCGTCAATTCATCAATAACACTATTTTTATGTGTACCATGCCTTTCCTCACTACTCACTGATTGATGACGTAACCGATATCTTTCATTTCAGCACATCAGCCATCAACTCCTTCTCCTCCTCGCTCTTCCCTACTTCCTCCACCTCACCCCGAAAACCGCCGCTGCCGACATCAAGGATGTCTTCGCCCCCGGCTCCCCACTCACCCGCTTGCCCAGAGACGAGGAGTACCCGCTGTACTCCGTGGTTCCTAGTGACGTCAGCGTTGGAAAAGTCTTCGCCCCTGGCTCTCCGCTCACCCGTTTGCCCAGGGACGAGAAGTACTCGCGGTACTCTGACGAGAAGTATTCGCGGTACTCTGATGGTCCTAGCGACGCCAGCGACAAGAGCTTGAAGCCGGAGAACTCTTCCGAGGGTATGTATATGTATGTTCACTATGTACAGGTTGTTCCTTGTATTTTGACTCCTACCTACAGCTTCAACTTCACGAGAAGAAAAACACTACAATATGAAGTTGTAGGGTTTCATCTCCACTATCTTCTGGCAGTCCCTAAGTATAGAAATGCAAATCGCAATATAGAAAAACAGAGTCCAAATCCTTTTTCCTAAATGGAACACACTGTACCCTGTATATTTCCAACTTTTGTGAAAGATTTCCCTCTTCCTCCAACTAACATATATAATTTGTTCATGTTTCCTTGAGCCGAAATAATTTTTGCGGCACTACTGAAATGTTTGCAATATTTTAATAATACTGGTATTTGTCTCCTGCGGAATAACCCATTTTCTTCCAAAAATTGACAGAGGTGTCAAAAAATGCCTGTTTTGTCTCCATGACATTTCTTTCGTGTTCATTTCAATCTGAATGTTATTGGCGCAGCTTCAATTCAATGCTTAATAAGGAAATAGGGAAACATTAGCCAACTATACCGGGTGACACAGGGTATCGGGCCACCCCTGTAACTTCTGCTTTCATCATCGGATTCTTCTGGAATTCGGTACAGTTATATAAGCAATTATTTCGGATTTGATCACATTAGAATCCGATATGGCGGACTTCCGGTATTCCTGGAAATGCCAGCAACTTTGTTTTTTCAAATGAAACACCCTGTATATTTATACATATTCAAGTTCAACAGGTCGAAACAAGTGCAATCTTTATTTCAAATGTCATTTTTTCGAAAAAAATTAAATTGAAATTGTTTTTCCATTTTACCTCGTGGATAAATGAGATGTGGTCAAGACTATTCACAATGAGTCACACATAACAGAAGAACATATTTTTTCTGAAAAATTATTTTTTGTGTCACTTATCCAGGAATCAATTCAGCCACATCACTTTTTGATCAAAAAGTATATTTTTCCAAATGGAACCCCTATGGGCCACCTACTCGTTTCTCTAGAACATTATAGGGATTCCCTTCCGTGCGCTCCAAGCGATAAAAAAAACTAGTTTATGAATTTCCTTGCAGTTAGAATACTTCTTCAACTAGGTAGGCTTTGGAATAAATGACATTTGACATCAATATTGCACTTGTTTTGACCTGTTGAACTCGAATATGTAAAAATATACAGGGTGTTCCATTTGAAAAAACAAAATTGCTGGCATTTCCAGAAAAACCGGAAATCCGCCATATTGGATTGTAATGTGATCAAATCCGAAATAGTTGCTTATATAACTGTACCGAATTTCAAAAAAATCCGTTGACGAATGCAGAAGTTACAGGGGTGGCCCGATAGCCTGTGTCACCCGGTATATATTTGTGGACAGGAGTAGATTTTCCACTGGAACTCGCATTATCCTTTGGAGAAAACTGATTCAGACTCTTTTTTTCCATTTTGCCAATCGCTCTGGTTTATTTGAGAAGTGCCAAAAGATGGTACATATAATGCACTACAACTCTCGTGATTGAAGTTTTTGTCCACCTCGTATATTTGAAGTTGTAGATAGGGGTTTAAATAAACGGAGGCATCCTGTATGTCACACTACACTGTTTTACCACTATCCAAACCGATTTTTTGAACGCTTCGACACGTGTTTTGCAAGCTATGTTAGCTTTTCTAAAGGAGATTGAAACTGAATAATTGATTTAAAACATATCCAGCATCATATATACTTGAAACACTTTGATACATAGTTAACTAATGACCCCAAACATAAAATGGCAAGTTCAAATCATCTAGTAGATAAGTTCAAATCTTTCTGAACAAAGAAAGATTCAATGTTGAAAGAAGTATTGGTAACTATAGTGGCTGGCATCTATAATGGGGAAGACCACTGAGGGAAGAAATCCGTGCAAACCTCTTTCAATCGATTATGAGTTGAAGTTGAAGAGAATCGAATCTATATCGTTTTGAAATCAGCATATTTCATTCGATATTTCAAACAGCCGAATATGATGGTGGAAGCGTGACGTATTAGTCCCGAACTGTAGCTATCTCTCTCTGACACCTCGTCATTCTGCAGTGTTGCAGTGTAATTGGTCAGTTCAAGGACAAAAGGCGTTTTGGGACTAAGACGTCGCTCCAGTCACATCAATGAATTGATGAAATTTCAAATGGTGCAGGAATTGTGTGTTTTGAAATGGACATATACTAATTTATTTTTTTCATCGTCTTAGCATGAATGAAAAAATTCAAAATTAATTCACTGGTAGTTTTTCAGTATAGAGTTCACGATAATGTCGTTTTAAAAAATTAGTGGTCGTTTCCATTATGATATCAAAATAGAGTAGATGAACTAATTTGTGAAAATGAATTCGAGTTAACCCTTCGAAATTTAACCTCTTTTCGAGTGGACAGAAACATTTCCAGAAGAATCCCAATCCCGTTCAATCCCAATTATACAAGTAGTGCACCTACATCAATACGAGACCAATTGACTTCTATCTCACACATGCATTATTCTCAATCACATCTAACCTTATGTTGTAAGAAAATTAGATGCATTATGGAAGTCTAGATATATTCGTGAATAGGAAAAGAGTTATGAATCAGGATAATTGAACTATCTCGTATATTCCTTAGTAAGGTTCAGCGATCTGAACTCAACCATAATAGGATATTATGTAACAAGTGTTATGAAAGTCCTTTCAGTAACGGGTATTTTGACAGCAGCGAGTGTTTCACGAACGAATTTCTAGAAGAGTTACTAAACGCGTTACCTACTATAGTTTTTCTAACTCATAATAATGAATCCTCTCTTCGACGAGATCATATACATGATACATGCAACTGCATGCAACCAACGAGACAGGTATGACAGATATTGGTTGTAGATGTGGCAAGGTTAGGTAAGTATACCTCAATGGCTTCCTCACTTTACTAACCTTTGTGAATGCGAAGTTATCATCTGACGTAGAAAATGAAAACTATTCGATTCGCTGAGGCATCACAGTTCTTGATTTCTCAGGTTTGGTGATTCACGTTCGATGTCATGTTCAGCATACTTAGAATGAATTACTTCGATTACTTCGATTTCACTTTCGTCTACATTTCGAATACAGTTTCAATGATGTATTCTGATACAAACAGAGATTTTCCGAATTATTCCAAAATGACAGTTGACAATTCCTACCATTGACAGACCAGACAGGACAAGACTCAAACGACTGAACAGGGATGTCTTGTAATATTCAGAGAACATCGAGAGAACCAAGAAAAATAAGGTTGGAATTGGTTTCTTCTTGAATTTCTGGGGTTTATATGCCTCGGGAACGAGTGTTTGGACAGAGATGATCTGCAGGTCTCCAGAGTGACCACGAAGGGGTGCGAAGCCTCAACTCGACGGCTCAATCTCGCGGGGACTGCCAAAAAAGAAACAATCGTTGATATTTCAGAAGAGCATCTTCCATGAGTATATCTATAAGATAGAGCCAGATCTCCAACTTTTCTATTACGAAAGTGAGTGAGTTTAGGAGCGAGGCATCACCCACGAGACGAATTGCCCTTTTTGGGCAGAATCCAACAGTTTCAGGGTTTGTTTAGGTACCGCACTCCGAATATGGAAACATTATTACAGGACAGGTCGGATCTGTGCCTTATGGATCATAAGCAGCTGACTGGAAGTGCAATAGCTCCTGGCTCGAAACAGAAAACCAATAAGTTAGCAATTAATCTTACATGATTTTCCCAAGGAAGATTATTGGTGATAGTAATACCAAGCATCGAAATGGATGTCTTCAAAGGTATGATTACTCCTGACAAGCTCATGTTGGGCACAGTGAGATCGGCTTTTCTAGAGGAAAGGCATGCTTGTGTTTTGTTTGCATTGATATCTACCAAGCTATAGGATCCTTATTCAAAAATTGTTGCCAAGTCCATATTTATGTTGTCAACATTTCTTCCTCGTTCGTTTCTGATTTGCCATGGACATGGAGTTCCAACAAATCGTTGATATGGAGTAGACATAGTGTTCGTGCTAGAATTGATCCTTGCCAAACGCCAGCATTCATGAAAAGATAGTCAGATGGAACATCGTCGACCACTATATGGAGAGACCTGTTTGAGATAAAACTAGCTAGCAGAAAACTTAGCTGGGGAGGCAAGCCATAGTATGGAAGCTTATCGAGGAGTCCATGGTGCCAGACTCGATCGAATGCCTTGGAGATATATCAAGTGACACGGCCAAGGTTTCACCTAATTTTCCAATAGATTGCTGCCATATATGTGAGACGTAAGCGAGCAGGTCACCAGTTGATCTCTGGTGAGGAAAGCCGTACTGCCTATCATTGATAATACCTGAATGTTCCAGATATTTCATGAGCTCGATGTTGATAGCTCACTCCATGATCTTTGAAATAATAGATAGTAGTCTGATCGGTCTGTAGTTGCTAGGTAGGGCCTGTTTGCCTTTTTTAGAAACTGATTGTACTCTTGCAATTTTCCAGCTGGACGAGAATATCCCCAATTCGTAAGAGTAGTTGAGCATCTTGCAGAGAACAGGTGTTAGTTCAGGAGCACATTCCTTGAGAGCAATCGGTGGAATTCCGTCGGAGCCACAAGCTTTGTTGGTGTTGACACCCAATATAATCTTCCTTATAGTACATTGGCGAAAGATGATCTCGGGCATATGACTGTCAATTGGCGTTATGTCTGGAGGTGGTTTTCCCGATGAATCCAGAGTGGAATTTTAGACAATAAATGCGCAGAAATGTTGACTTTCTCCTGGGCAGTTGTGGCTAGTGTTCCATCCTCCTCGGTCAGAGGAGAAAACCAGCTGGAAGTGAAGTTTCTTCCTACAGCTTTGGCGAAGGACCAAAATGAACGGGATCCGTTAGGACATTCAACAAGTCTTGATATCATTTTGGCATTATGAGCATCTTCTGATGATCGAATTGTCCCATTGCATATGCCTAGTAAGTATAGTTCATGCAAAGTCAGTTGGAAAAACACATCATCGCAAGCCGTCCATCCCTTATTTGACAGTTCAAAGAGTGCGGCAGCGAGGCCCGACATTCGTTTGATGATCTGTTCAACTGACTTTGCATAATCTATACATAGGCAGCATCCTAGAATGGGATATTCGGTTCTGATCTCCTACTGAAGTTGCTAGCGAAACACGTGTCCAGGCGTATGAAAAATCGGTCTTGTTATTGATGAAACAGTGTAGTGTCGTGATCATCGTGTCAAATATTCAGTCTCCGATATAATATATTCGAAATACCTGAAATTATATTAAAGGTGGCGCCACCTCTGCTGCTGTGGGAAAGCGGTGCATCAGGTGCGACTCGGGGTACGACGCGTACGACAGGAGACCGAACTACGGTGGAGGTTACGAGGACAGGAGCAGGGACTACGACCGGTACGACGATCGGTACTCGGAGAGGGATCGCTACTCCGATAGGGATAGATACAGCGACAGGTGAGAAACGTTCAATCTTTCTTTGAGCCAGAAATACTCATTTTTCATTTGGTGTTTCCAATTTTTTATTGTTGCACCAGCTTTCAATGAAACGCGTGTATTGCTTCTCATACCTTTTTCAAGACTACGTTGGCAATAACGCAGCTATATCACATCTGCAGCTAGAAGTTTTTGATCATTATGTATTGTGGCAATTTCACTGAATCTGGAATGACAGTAACGCTGTGTCTGTCAGTAGTGTCACTTTGACAAAAAAAAACTAATTTGTGGTTTTAATTACTTGATTAGGTGGAAGTATTGAGGAGGAATATTTTCAGATAAGTTGAGAAGATGGAAAAATGAATACATATGAACATGTATGAAGAAATACATTGAGATATCGCATTCCCCATGTATTTTACCTCCTCGCATACTAGGTTTTTATTTAGATCGACAATAATGTTCCATGTGATCAAAATATCAATTCTCCCTTTGTTTATTCCACAGAAAACTACTACTTCTATGGCTATAGGTCACGATGAACATTGTATATATATTGAACACACGATAAGAATTAGAAAACAAAATCTTCTGAAGTTGAGAATTGGTTTGATTGGCATGACAACAATAGTTTTCCACATCAGTTCATCAAATATAGGACGATTTTTATTTCAATCAATGTTTATTTTTCGCTACTTCTCAATTTTCACGATAAACAGGGTGTTACAATTTCGTGGGTGAGAATGGAAATCTCGGTAGCTTTGAGAGATACAGAGTGGGTTGAATTAGGGCAATGGTGCACCATCTCATGCTCGACGAAATGCTGCTTTGGAATTGGAAAACTTTCAATCATTTCCAGAGATATTCGAAAGAAAAAAGAGAAATGCCGAATCGTTTCCATTCATTTCTCAGTTTATTCGGAGAATAATTCGAAAAAGGATTTGATTTCATTAATGTCACTCTTTTTCCTTTACAAAATGGAAATGCTGAATTGAAAATCCAATGTTTCTTCTTCTAGTGGCCATCATCAACCTAATTTTCGTGAATACGGACCTGGATTATTCATTCCATTTCTCGATGGTTTTTTATCTCCTTGATATATGATGATATACCAAAACAATTCATGAAATGTTCATTTCAGTGGAAAAATTGTTTAGGAAAGGTATGGAGATACTCATCTCTGTCTAACACAACGTGTTTGGTTCTGGATATAGTGAAAAGAAAAAGTATTCCAATTTTCATGTGACGAATCTCTGAAGTGATTGATTTTGCTGTTCTTCACCAAACTGAGATTCCTCACTACATAAAACTGACTAAATCATTCAACATGCACTTTGTTGACTTTCGTTCACTTTCCTCAACTAACTCTCAGTGATAAATCAGACAGGATTGAAAGAACCTTCCAAGTTCTATCAGTTCTGTTAATTTTTCGAAAAAGTACTTACATAAAAAATTAAACTGAAATAGTATTACTCGTAGGGGAAGGTTGATTGCAAAATCATACGATCGCCAATGAAGTCTACTGGAGTCCGTTGAATATATAATCATACTGATCATGACCTGTTGAATGGCAGTTGTACAATGGAATGATATTCTCCATACAGGGTGTGAAAAAAATCTGAATTGAGAAAACTCAATCACGAATCTGTGATTATAGATATCTGTGCAGAAGCAAATTTCCATGCGAATTCTCAATGTAGTTTTTTATATGATTCCTTTTTTTTTTTCTTGTTCATTACTTTCTTGAGAATATTCGTTTTCAATGATTTAATGGAGTTTGTGAGATGAAGAATCAAACACATTGTACGAGCATAATAGTGATACTACGCAGGCAGCAATTTGTATATGTATCAGTATCATTAGCTATATCATTAGCGAACACGAACAGATCCATTGAAAATCCGCAAATACCTGGAAAAATGGAAGCTTGTGGCTGCTATAATCAAGAGAACCTTGAGATAGCAGATTAAGATAAGGTACAATAGATCTAATCAGGTCGCAGCACATTTAATGTAAATTTAATCATTAGCTATTTTAGGCCAATCAAATAATTATATTTTGAGGAATTAATTTCCAGCAAGTTGGAAATCCTTTAATTACCTTCATTCGGTCCCAAATGCGTGTAATCTAAGTTTGCACCATTCCAGGAGTTGAGCTTAACTTTTGATAGCCAAAAAACCGCCAAATTTTTGCACTTTTTTTATTTTTTTGCTTATAGCTGCAAAATGGTTCATCGGTCGAAAAATGTCATTCTATTCAATAATATAGAAGGCAAAATTCTGCGTCGAATGACATCTGAAAACATCAAATTCCGTTTAGTAGTATAGCCGAAATCGAATGTTAAAAAAGAAGAAAATTTCGTAGTTCGGTGCAAGCTTACATTTTGCGGCTTTCCAAGACGACATATCGTGAAAACAGATACTCCTATTGAAAAAACCCATTAAATAAAACTTGTAGAGAATAAAATTTTACGTTATATAGATAGATGTCCAAATGTTTAAGTTTTCTTGATTTGTCCAATTATCCGGATATCTGAATGCCCGGTTCAGCTTCGGTCCCAAATTTTGCATCAATTTATAATTATTTTTCATCTAGTGCGCGAAGTGCTACTTTGGTGATCGAGATCTGATTTTTTTAACGAGGCGCAGCCAAGTTAAAAAATAGTCGAAATCACCAAAGTATTTCGCGCACGAGTTGCACCGAACTACGAAATTCTCTTTTTTTTAACATTCGATTTCGGCTATACCTCTGAACGGAATTTGATGTTTTCAGATGTCATTCGACGCAGAATTTTGTCCTCTGTATTATTGAATGGAATAACATTTTCCGTCCGACGCATCGTTTTGCAGCTATAAGCAAAAAAATAAAAGAAGTGCAAAAATGTGGCGGTTTTTTGGCTATCAAAAGTTAAGCTCACCACCTGACATGGTGCAAACTCAGATCACACGCATTTAGGACCAAATAGAGGTATTAAAACGATTTCCAGTTTGCTGGAAATTAATTCCTCAAAACGGTTTTTTTCGATTCAATTTTATTAGCCTATCACTCATCCAACATCATTTATTTTCAGATACGACCGTTATTCTGACCGATCCAGGGGAAGATACGGAGGCAGAGAACGTTATGGAGGTCAAGACCGCTACGGAGTACCAGACCGCTACAGTGGACTCGACCGCTATGGAAGCCAAGATCGCTATGGAAGTTTAGACCGCTACTACGGAGGTCTGGACCGCTACGGAAGTCAAGACCGCTACGGAAGCCCGGACCGCTACGGAAGTCAGGACCGCTACGGAAGTCAGGACCGCTACGGAAGCCAAGACCGCTACTACGATAGATACGGAGACTACGATCGCTACGATCCTTACGAGCGCTATGACAAATACGACAGATACTCTGATAGGGGAGTTGGCTACGATAATAGAGGATACGATTACAGGGGTTCGGATAGTGGAGGTTACAGGCCATGGGATGAAACTTACAGGTAATCATGCCATTTCTAATGTTACCTCGACTCAATTTCAGATGTTTTGTTTATTGGCACCCTATTTCGCCCATTCGGAGGACGCCTCGGCGTATTCAGAAGGTAGTTCAAAGCTATCAAGGAAATATAAAACACCCGAGAAATTTGAATTCTGAATGTTATAATAAGTAATAACACGATGTTCTGAATATTCGAGAGAATTCTCATGCTCCATTGTACACGAACTTGTGTTGTCAAGATTAGTTGACAGTGAGAAACAAAATTATGGAGAGATATTCAGAAAAAAGTGGGATCTGCTGGACTTTTTCATGAAGCATAATAAGCATTCATTATAAATGAACAAGTCCTATAACCAATATATAGCTATAATTCTAATGATATTCTTATTCACTTCAAAGATATTTATGAATTCACTCTTTTCATCTGAGAGATATCAACTCGGGAGATTATTTTCTCCAGACACTTTTCGAAACATTATATGTCATTGGTGCCATCAAGTCATCTGATACCTGTTTTTGGTTTCTAGCATCATCAACCGCCATTTTGTTTTACTATTGAATATATTTGGCTGAAACTCGGGTATCGTATATGGGATCCAACGTTGTTTTGAAAAGGATATCATTCGAATCTTAATTCTTCTCGGAAAATATTCTCAAAATGGTGTTAATCTTAGATAAAGATCACTCGAACTACTATCGAAGCAAAAAAGTAGAAACTAGAAATGTCCCAGCCTTCCTGTTCAAGAGCCGTTTCTCTTCCACACCAATCCTTAGTTCAGTTATTATTCCTAAGTCAATATAAATGATTATTCATTGATTGTTCACACACAATATGAATTATGCAATGCACTATAACCACTCATTACGTGCTCAGCGCTGAAGGAATGAGAGAGGGAGATGCCAGAACACTTACTTATGACATACCGGTGACAGAAACCGATTTCAACGGTATCTCTGAGATTGAGTTTTTTTATCGCTTGGTGCGCACAAGACAGAATCCATATAATGTTCGAAAAACATCATGCGTACCTATGAAGGATAGGAAAATGCGGTAGGTGTTGAATTTTTTCGAAAATTTTGGAGATTATAAGTTCTTGGAAATACTTCCTGAGGAAATGAATTCCAGCGCTTTGCTTTTCCATAGAGAAACGAGTTTTGTTAAAATGCTGCTCGACATATTTCGAGGTTGACAACGAAAGGATGTGCTGACTGCGCATGTTGTGTTTGTAGGACTAGTATTGCTAGTCGTGGAATGATAGCATATATTTCTGAAGAACATTTCTCGTGGTAGTATTCATAGAAAACTGGAAGGTTGCCGACCTTCCTACGGTGTTCCGGTGATGTTAAAGTGTTAGTTAGTGGAGAAAATTTTTGTGTCTGTAGAAACGTTCTGTCTGGATAGTACATGGTGCTGGTTTCAGAGACCACTATAAACCAATTATGAAAATTTTCAATATGATGCCTCTTTCATCATTATATATTTTTGTTTCTGTATTGGAAATCGATAAAAATGAAACAAACCTCGTAACAAATGCAGATGTCCACAAGGAATTCTGATCCTCTGAGAGTACCAAATTACAGGCTGGCAAAGTCAACGAAAAAATCTGAATTTATTAAATCGTCTTCCTGTTTTTATGAGGTCATTGGGTGAGAATAGAAGATCATTCAAATACGCAAATAAGGAACATATTTAATCTGCTCAATGTATCGAAAATTGACTTCAGCATACATCCTTTGGCGTCAATATACCTACCTTCAAAATCTATGCAGTCCAACAATACACAATATACAAATCAATTAATTCATGACAGAAGTGTCAAATCGACATTGTTTAAATGGCATCATCTGTCCATGGCATACTATATCTTTGTGATGCATAATCATGGATCGAGAGAAAGATCGCCTAAAGCACAACACACAGAAGATGATGCTTCGAAAATTTCCTCCCATAGGTGTTTAATGCCCTTCGCTACGCGTCGTGCATCAAACTCCATACGCGGGAGGAAATGGCTACCTTTCCTTCCTTGATATATAAATTGCTATCAACTCACTGTTTCTATACAGTCGAAACATATTCGCACACGCCATTTTTCGAGATTGATAACCTCAGTTAGCAGGAAAAACGATGTACCTTCATTGATCAGAGACCAAAAACTCGACATTTCAAACATGGTTTTGGTTTCACGATTTCGATCCATCAATTTATCATTCCATTGAATTGACTGTGATGTGTATGTATTTAATGATGTGTTCTTCCTCAACTGACTTGACTAAAACAAATTGATTTTGTAACTTGGTTGAATAAACATTCATCTATCTACCATATGAGGAACCAGTTTATGAGTTGAGTTAGAGCATTCTCGTAAAATTTTTGATCAACACACATTTTCAAAAAATAAATAGGGAAAAGTCACTCTTCGGGTCACAGTGTATAACGCGTTGAGCGATTTATTGCATGAACGTTTCATCGCAAACATACAATTGAGGCTCTGATGAAAACACATGTAGCTATATTGACAGCTGCTTGATTCACAGTGGTCCCAATATAGGAAAATGGAATTGGATCACCATTTATTCCTATTGCAAAACGTTTAGGTAGGTGATTAAGTGGGTTTTCATTCTTTTTTCCTTCAGAGGTACCTCTGGGTTCGATAATGCTGGCAGAGGCTACTACTTCGCCTCTGGAAGACCAGAATACGGTGCAAGTTATGATGGAGGGTATGCAAGTGGTTGGAACTACGGGAACAGTGGCAGCGGTAGAGATGATTACTACAGGGATAGAGGGTGAGTCTTTTATTTCTGTATACACCTCCGTTTCTTAGCAACAAGAAATCGGAAAACTATTCTGAATTAATCCTACACCTAGGAAAGCATAGATATGCTTCACAAAAAGCTGGACAATCATTATAACGCCAGATACGCCCAACGTGAGTCAGACATCAACTGTATAGTATGTACACAGATGAAAACCCGAAATCATCTCCACAGCTTTCATTCATATAGAGATGGCAAAGATGGAATTCAAATATTATATAGACAAAATTGAACAAAACACCTACACTTCTTATATTTTATATGTCTCTGTTTTGACCATTTTTGTCTACAATATTTGACTTTCATCTTTCTCCATTTCCAATAGAACTGTGATTTGTGATTGTCTGATGATAGGCATATATATATAAGCCCAAAATATGTACTTCATGGGCGATCTCTGATCAATCTAAAAAGATGTTGTGGAAATATAGATTAGTGAGAAATAATATAATCATTGAAATATCATATTTAGATCAAGAAGAGAGTGATTAGTTCCATGAGAGTACATCAATGATAAATCCATATACATCAGGTTCAAGAAGAATGTTCAATATAGTACAGTATGATGCAAATGTATGGAATAAGTTTATTATTTCAGAAATGGGTGACATTTGAAAAAATTCTAAAAACACGAGAGTTTTAATTTCTGAAGCCTCATCTCATGATATTCATATGAGAGATGTTACGTCACCGGTGTTGGAGTAAAGACGTAATGGACGATTTCTTCAAATACAAATAGGGGTCATGTGACACCTTGAATGAAAGGTCTACCAATCGTCTATTCAACAGTCAAAATGTTGCATAAGAAGATTGAAATTAAAATGGATTATCATGTGATTAATTGAATCTTGCAGAGGTCTGCTACTGAGAATTGAACATCGAAGGGTCGTCTAGTTAAAAAAATACGCCGAAAAAAAAGTTCTAAACTCTAGTTTTTTTTTTCGAAAGTCGTCTTGTTTTGAAATGAATTTATTCCATACATTTGCATCATACTTATACAGTGTGTCCCACTTACCATGCTCACCATGGGTATCTTTTTAACGGTGAGAGATACGAGGTCGGTTAAATGACACCAAATGTGGAGTTTGTCAAGGCCAACTATAATGTGATAAAATATTTTGATAAAATCTATTCGTTTTTGTTTTATACGCAAAAAACAGATTTTGATCGTTTTCATGTCTCCTCTGTAACTTCTTTATTTATGAAAATATTCAAATAAGAATATCACATTCTCATGGCAGTTTTTCAAAGTGATTTCGAGAAGAATATGAAATTTATACCAACTCTCATAGAATTTGAGATATCAGCACCAACTTCAGTTTTTCAATCGTTGGTCATAGCTCACTATGACTTAGTTACGAATAACTTCTTTTTCTCTTACAGATGATATGTCGCAGTAATAGTTTTGTGTTGATAACAACGGAGTTATCGTCATTTATACAAAAACAAAAAATTATTTGGAAGCCGCCATCTTGAATTCATACATTTTAACATAAAAATCATGATCTCCGACCTCGAAAACCCCCACTTATCAATTTTGAATGGAATCGGATCAAATCTTGTTCGCCATCTTGGAGCAGCAATTTTTTTTAATTTCAACAAAAATTCCATAATGCATTGTCACCGAAATTATGATCACCTGCCAAATTTCAAGTTAATCGGAGTTATGGAATTTTTGTTGAAATTAAAAAAAATGGCTGCTCCAAGATGGCGGACAAGTGGGGATTTTTGAGGTCGGAGATCATGATTTTTTTGTTAAAATTTATAAATTCAAGATGGTGGCTTCCAAATAATTTTTTATTTTTGTATAAATGACGATAACTCCGTTGTTATCAACACAAGACTATTACTGCGACATATCATCTGTAAGAGAAAGAAAAGTTATTTGTAACTAAATCATAGTGAGTGATGACCTACATTTGAAAAACTAAAGTTGGTGCTGATATCTCAAATTCTAGAAGAGTTGGTATAAATTTCATATTTTTTTCGAAATCAATTCGAAAAACTGCCATAAGAATGTGAAATTCCTATTTGAATATTTCCATAAATAAAGAAGTTACGGAGGGGACATGAAAATGATCAAAATCTGTTTTTTGCGTATAAAACAAAAACGAATAGATTTCATCAAAATATTTTTTCACATTACAGTTGGCCTTGACAAACTCCACATTTGGTGTCATTTAAGCGACCTCGTATCTCTCACCGTTAAAAAGATACCCATGGTGAGCATGGTAAGTGGGACACACTGTATTCGGAATAGATGCCCTCAATGTTTCGTGTATCGACGAAATAGTAATCTACAAATTTGCCAGCGATATTTACATGGAAATCATGGAATTGATCATCCAGAATTCCAGTATGAGCTATTCACAGGGTATTCAATCCCAATATAAAACGAATTTAATGTATTTGGTCTATGCGGTTTCAAATAAATAGATGGTACAGTTACTGATGGAATTTTCCGATAACGAGAGAGTAAAGTTTGACGATGTCGAGCTGAAGATAAATAGTTCTGATTATTTGAAAGACTGGATCATGAAATCGAGTTGCCTATACGGCTGGCACTTTTTTAATGAAATCACTGAGCAAAAAGCTGTCGTTACTATCGTCGAATATAAAGGGTGTTTCAATACTAATTGAAAATATTTCAACAATTGATTCCTGAGTCCAAAGAATTTTCAGGCGTGTCAGATCGAACTGAGGTATTACATCGAACAGACAATGCGAGCAAAAAACTTTTTTCTTCAAGCGGCAGGGATAGAGTCTTTTTCCTGCCGCATAACAAGCAGAAAAATTGTACTTTCACGGCCAAGTTTGTTGCTATGCAACGTTCCAAGAAATTCTAATGAAATTAGTAATCAAAATTGACACTGACATTGAGTGAACACAAAATGATAGAGTTTTCAATCAAAAAATTGCACAAAATTGGTTTTATATCATTTGGGGAAAAAATGCAATGTTTCACACGACAGCAAATGTAGATTGACTGCCTTGGTTGAATTACTAGCCTCGCTACGCTCGTATATGAACTATCAGTCGCGGCAGTCAATCTACTACTTTTTTGCCTAGTAAAACAAACAACTATTTGGAGACAAGAAAAAACAACAAATGAATAAATACTCTCCTAATCATACTTCGATAAGAATGATGTTTTCGGGGTGAAAGCTACATTGCTCTTTCCCTACTCAATCTCGTAATCTATGAAAATTGCGACGCGAAATTAGAGAGTCGCTTAGAACTCGATGAAAACTTCAAAATGAGGTATCGCTACTTACACGCCCCATCACTATTTAAAATCAATCAAACCAATCAGAATCGACCATTCTCATGGTTTCTTCTGTATTCTAGCGATATTTTTTGTTTATTAAATTTTATCGGACTTGCTCTACCAATACAGAAGCCGAATTGATCCACACGTGACCAACTAACCTATCGTTTATCAGCGATAAAATTTTGACATCGTGTCTGGTCAAGATTGCTTTGGATTCAAATCTGAGACAATAACCTAAGTCTCAACTTTATTTCATTAACTTACAATTCGCGTTAGTGAGATATTTTGTACGAAAGGCGAGACAATTTTATTCTGGCTGGACGTTTCATGTGAAATTCCGTTCGCCCTAGAGGCAAAATACTTAGGAGTCATCTTTGACCATAAGTTAACATGGAATCAACACCTACAAAAAATTGTTCAAAAAAGTACAGTAGCCTTCAATCTGTGCAGACGAATGTGCGGGAAAAATTGGGGACTGCAACCAAAAATGACCACATGGCTCTATGCCAGCGTCATCAGGCCTATGATAGCATATGGGTCAGTAGTTTGGTGGCCAAAGACACAACAGGCTGGAGTGATTCGAAGGCTCAGTGCTATTCAAAGGCAAGCTTGCCTGAGTGCCACTGGTGCAATGAAAACCACTCCAACAGCCGCTTTAGAGGTCCTCTTGAACCTACCACCACTACAAATATATATTCAAGGCGAAGCCAGAGCAGTCGTGAGTAGATTGTCAAGGGGTCAAGCACCCATAAGCAACGCGCACGGTAAAGACTATAGAAAGCTATATGAAGAGTTGGAAAGCGACCCCATCATGGGAATGCCAACGGATGGCATAATTCCAAAATATAGCTTTGAAAAAACTTTTAAAATAAGTATAACGGACAGAGAGGCATGGAAGGAAGGACCTCCTATCAATGCAGACATTGCTGTCTATACGGACGGCTCCAAAACTGAGTTTGGATCAGGAGCCGGTATTTATGGGGCCAAGCCAAAGACAAGAATCTCACTGAGCTTAGGTTAATACGCGACGGTGTTTCAGGCAGAAATTATTGCAATACATCATTGCGTGAAAGAATTGATAAGGCAAGAGTTTAAAGGCAAAACCATTGCAATCTATTCAGATAGCCAGGCGGCAATCAAAGCAGTCAACTCTATGCAAGTTAACTCAAAACTAGTATGGGACTGCTTAGAAACCCTAAATGCACTGGGCAGTCAGAACAGACTGACTCTAGCATGGGTACCAGCACATACAGGGTACGAGGGCAATGAAGAGGCAGACTCACTTGCCCGAGCAGGAGCAAACAAAGCTCTGAATGGCCCAGAACCCTTCTGTGGTATTGCGAAAGCTATACAAAAGACTAGTATCAAATCATGGATGCAAACCAAATCTCAAGAATGGTGGAACAAATCGCCAGGAATGAGACAGGCAAAAGAGTTTATTAAAAAACCATCGCCAACATTCACAGAATATCTACTAAGCCAGAAACGAAGTTCAACTAGAATACTAGTGGGACTTCTCACAGGGCATTGTAGGCTCAACAAACACATGAGTACGATAGGTCTGACTGAAGAACTGCTGTGCAGGTTCTGTCAGGAAGAGGAGGAAACAGCAGTACACATACTTTGCCACTGTGAGGGCTTGTCAAGACTAAGGTTCCTTACGCTGGGTGAGGAAAAACCAGAAGCCCAGAGATACACA